AAGATTTCTTAATATTTATAAGTTATATAAAAAATAAAATTTACTTTTAATTTTAATAACTAATTAATTAAATTCAGGCATGTAATATTGATACTAAAATTAATATCAATTTTTTTTATTTTTTTAAAATAAATTAATGGTTAAAACTGTATCAATTACATCCTTTAGGGTATAGGTTTAAAAAATCCTTTTTTTGTTAGTGAAAAAATAAATAAAGATGCTTATTAAAATTCTAAATTCAAGAAAAGATACCTTATTTAATATGTTTTAGGGTAGAGATTAGAAAAGTCCAACCTTAAAAAATGGAATTTCTGTCAATGAAAAAAGCGTTAAGAAATTAATTAATATATTTTTTGACATTAAATTATATAGAAAAAAAATAAAATTTGACTTTAATTTTAATATTTAACTAATTAAATTAAAATACATGACATTAATACTAAAATTAATATCAACTTTTTTTAGTTTTTCATATGAATTAATAATTAAAAAATATATTAATTACACCTTTAATTTATACCCTAATGACATAGTTTTAAAAAATCTATAAAAAATGAGTAAAAGATATTTCTTAAAATTTTGTTAAATTCAAGACAATATACCTTATTAATGGCTTTTAACCTGTATTTTTTAAAAAGCTGAAAAATGAAATTTTGTTTATCAAAATAAAAAAAATAAAAAAGAAGGAAAGAAAACTGAAGTTTTGTTAATCATGTTATTTTCATTTACATTTCTGATTTAGTTAAAGAAGAATATCAATGTATTCCAATCACATGACCTCATATATATCTTTATTTTCGAATTTGGACTGAAAATATTGATTAAGACTATATTGACTTATGAATTAGGCCATTAATCCCCTCATGATAACTACGTAAATTCCAATAAATGCACTCCCAATGCAGGGCCATATTTACCAAGCTTTTCTGATTAAAAGTCTAGTTAAATCATGTCAGGTACAAGTGTGCATGCACGCGCACTTGCACAAAAGCACGTACATGATGTTTTACCACTTCAATGCCGTCTTCTTCTTTGAACGAGTCTTCAATAACTTTCAATATGGTAAGCATCCAAAACTACGTGATGTTGACATATAATGCAGG